CCTGGTAATTTGCGCTAACAAATCATTATTGGCTGTGAATTGGCCCTGAAATCTATGATGAAGGCTTAATAAAGTTTAATAAAGAAATAATAATAATAATGGATTGCTAAACGGGAGTTCTCACAGGCGCAAGGCTAAAGGAACCAGTAGAAGGGACCCACTGGCCTCTCCAGATGTTGTCAAGAGAACGCCAAGGTAATGAAGAATACTGGTGCTCCAACATCTGTAGAAAGCGCCCCATCAAACTTGACCTAACTGCGCGTGCGCAGAACGAAAGCCGCGGTTCTGTGGAGCGACGCCGTTGGGAAGCGTGCGGCGAGCGCCTTCCCCTTCATCCTCCTCTCCGATAGGGGGCGCCAAGTCGCTCAACGTTCTACAAACGTCGAAGAGGGCTTTCTCTCTCACTGGCCCTCGAACAGATGAAAGCGTCGCGCGCGGAGTGCGCATTGCGCACAGGAAACCCAACCCCTCCCTCCCGGCGGAGAGCGCCCGCCCTTCAATTCCTTCCGTTTTCCTCGCCATGAATACGGAGAACTTCTCCTGGCGAGCGAGAGCTCGGTTGTATATCTGCGGCCTTACGTGGCGGCACGGGGTCGCAGGGCGCGGCCGGCACACCGAGCTCGCCGCTTGCGGGCCTTTTACCGGAGCAAGTAAAAAGACCCGGCCGGCGGGGAGTTGCCGTCTTTCTTCCGGGTGAGGGAAAGCGGGAAGTGGGGGCGTGCCCCTCGGTCCTCCGGGAAGCCCCGCCCACCAGCCGGCCTGCTTTTACAGGCCAACTGCACCCCCCGAGGTGTCATTCTCCTCATGGATTCCAGTTGCCAGATGGGTAGCCGTGTGGTCTGCCATAGTCAAAACAAAAAAAATTCCTTCCAGTAGCACCTTAAAGACCAAACTAAGTTAGTTTCTTGGTATGAAGCTTTTCCGTATCTTGAAGAAAGTGTGCATGCACACGAAAAGCTCATTACCAAGAACTAACTTAGTTGGTCTTTAGGGTGCTATGGAAAGAATTTTTTTTGTTTATTGCCTCATGGAACAAGGCATAACGCAAACGCCCTCCAGATGGGAATACAACTCCCCTATCATCCCCTGACCAACTGTCCCTGTTAGCTAGGATGATGGAGTTAGTAGTCCCAAAACACTGGAGGGCTGAGAATTGCTCTTCCTGTCATGGAACAAAAAAGCAAGGTTCTAGTCCTCAAGGCGCGTGAATAAAAGGCTAATTTAAGGAGGAATATCTGACTTTTTGGGACCGTGGGTGGCGCTGTGGGGGTAACACCACAGAGCGACTCTAGGAGCTTGCCGATCAGAAAAGTCGGTGGTGTCGAATAACCCGTGAACGGGGTGAGCTCCCGTTGCTCCTAGCCAACCTAGCATTTGAAAGCACAATCAAAGTGCAAGGTAAAGATAAATAGTACCCGTTGCTCTGGCGGGAAGTAAAGGCATTTCCGTGCGCTGCTGCTGGTTCGCCAGAAGCGGCTAGTCATGCTGGCCTAACATTGACCCGAAGCTGTAGCCAGCTCCTCGCCAATAAAAGCGAGATGACGCTGCACCCCAGAGTGGTCACAACTGGACCTAATGTCAGGGGTCCTTTTACCTTTTTATCTGAAATTTTAGAAGACAGCCGCTGTTATCAGGGAAAGTTTTTAATGTTTGATGTTTTATCGTATTTTTATTATCTGCACGGGAGCCCGCTCCAGAGTGGTTGGGGAAACCCGCCAGAATGGGCAGGGTATAAATAATTTATTATTATTATTAATTATTATTATTATTAATTATTATTAATTATTATTACAGAGTCATTTAGTTCATACTAGTCCAGTATTGTCCACACTAACTGGCAACAGCTCTCCAAGGTTTAAACACCACCTGGAGGTGGCCATTGGGGATTGAACATGGCACAGGCACTCTGCCACTGAGTACAGCTCTTATGCAGCCCTGGGCGCAAAAGGACACCCCACCTCCGGCCGTGGTGGGAGCGCCTTGATTCAGTGATGTAAAACCCTGAGAATAATAATAATAAATTTTATTTATACCCCATCCCTCCCAGCCAAGACCGGGCCCTCAGGACAATGCTTATTATTATCTATGAGGTTTGCTACACTGAATGACCAAAATAATGATGAAACCTACAGTAAAATACCCTAAGGCACTATGGATAACGACTAAAAATGTGCAAATGGAGTTTTCAAAAGTAATTCATTTACAGCTTGCATCAAAATACTGTATATAATTAAGCTCAAACTCTTTTTAGAAGGAAGCATTCTGCTAAAACATACAATGCACGTTTTGCTGTAAAGTGTGTACATGACTGGCTGCTTTGGGTTGACCTGCTGGCAGTAAAAGACCCCTAGAGAGAGATGTTAGATATCAAGTCTAAGTCACTGACAAGAGTATGACTGGACCCAGTATCACTGCTTTATTACCAAGGGCTCATTCATAAATACATTCACCAGTTACACAACCTGCAATCAATGACCTCCATTAGACATTGTCCAAAGGAATAGTTAAGTAAGAGAATTAGTGATCATACATTTTGCATTAAAATAGGCAGTGGCGTAGAGTGGGGGGTGCAAGGGGTGCCGGCCGCACCGGGCGCAACATCTGGGGGGGGCGCGAGTCCAGAGGGAAGGGACAAGCAACCGAGGCTTGGTTGGGGTGGGGGGTCGTCGTCTCCGTTTGGCCGGCCCCCCTCGAGGAAGCGGGAACCTCTCCAAGGCGCAGCGCGCCGTTGGTGGAGGGAAAAGAGCCGCGGAGGAGGTGGAGGCGCCGCCTGCCGCAGGATCCGATCCGAGCCTGCTAATCGCTTGCTGGGAATTAAGCGGCTCAAAGAGGCAAAGGAAGAGGTGGAGCCGCTGGCCCGGCCAGGAGGAAGCTGGAGAGAGCAGCGCGCCTGGGCGCGGCGAGGTTGGGTAGGTGCGCCCTGGCTGGCTACCCGCCTCCCAGGCTCAGTGCCTCCATGACCCTCCAGCGGCGATGGGAGAGATCGGGGGGGGGGTCTGGAGCAGCCCCGGCTGGCCTGCTCCTGCTTCTCCCCCGCCTCCTTCCCGTTGCCGGCGCCTTGATCTCATCCGGATCAGGGACGAAACACGCCCATCCTTCGCTACTCCTTGTCGGGTCACTGCTTCATTTCTCCAGGGAGAGAGAGAGGAGAGGAGAGGTGCCGGGGATTGCCAAGCGCGTGTGACGCAAAGGGCCTGCCCACGCGCAGGCTGAGCTCCGCGTGGCGGGGGCGGAGGGAGGCGCTCTGCACATGCTTAGGAGGCGCTCGCTCTTTCCGAAGGACCCAGCTACTGGATCAAGGCCACAAGGGCCCATCTAGAGTGGCCAAGCAGACGCGTCAATGAGAAGCACTCAAAGCAGGACCGGGGCACAAGAGCGCTCTCCCTTCCTGCTGTTTCCAGGGGGTGGAAGCGTCGCTGCCTCGAGGGCTTCCGAGATACCCTGGGGTGAAGTCCCGCTTCACCTTCTTGGGAGTCCCTCTCTTATGCTTTGGGGGGGGGTAGCAAGGGGAAAGAATAATGATTTCCTCCACCACCAGCCCCAAATTCTATAGTAAGAGAAATTGGGGGCGAAGCCAACTGGGGAAATGGTGAGTCTCTAACCAGTGGCGTAGCGTGGGGGGTGCCGGCCGCACCGGGCGCAACATCTGGGGGTTAGGGTTAGGGGGCACAAATCCACGGGTTAGGGGGCGCAAATTACTTGCCTTGCCCCGGGTGCTGACAACCCACGCTACGCCACTGAAAATAGGATTATAACAAAACGAAGAGCATTCAGTCACTTTAAGTCAGACAGAAAGTCTTAGGTTGGCAATCAGTATTTGAGTTCATTAGATCACCATTATCTTTCACTTTATTAGATTGCTTTGTCTGCAGCATCCTTCAGCTCATATAAACATACACATCCACTTTCTCAGTTCCAGTTGACTTCCTGAAAATGATAGGTAAGTTGTTCCCTAGAGGCAAGTCTTAAAAATGTAGTGAGAGAGCACCCACATATGGGTGGCCTGAAGATGTGCAATGCAGTTCTACTATTGAAGTTGAGCAGGCCTGTACCTGTAAACTGCGTAAATGGGAGAGAACGAGGGAAAGGGGAGTAGTTTAATAATGATTTCTTGTTTTGTGTTGGAACAACATGGCACAGGGGAAATAACTGAACTCACTGCTATAGTAGTGTGGGGTATGTCATCTGCATTCTAAACAAAAGAGAAATTTGAATTCATATTTTATTAAGGATGAGCCAAAAACCCATGTCACAGCAAATCAGCCAACCTCTAAGATGCCACAATACCTTTTGTCTTATTGGTTCTACTGCTCAGAACAGTTCTCTTAGGATTTTACAACCCATTAGCCTCTCTATATAATAAAAAGTTCCACTAGAAATCTTCTGTTGGTAAGAAACATTAGCTAAATAAGACAAATTTAAAAGGCTCAGAATGGCTGAGTCAGTACCTTGGTTTCTCTTTTGCTGCCATGGCATGGCATGAGACAATCCCCCTGCCAATAATCATTAACAAGGTATACCAGAAACTCGATGCTGCCTCAGGGAAATGAGTTTCTGGCTCTGAATATACATTAGCTATTGTCTCTTACAGCTAATCACATAGCTCCAGCTAAAATGGTTGCTACTAAAAACACCTGTGCCTGCTAGTCAATATTCTATTTTCTGACCTTACTATCCTATCTACATCCCTGTGTCTTCCCCCTTTTTATACCCAGCCCTGTATCGGGAAGTTTTTTAATGTTTGATGTTTCATTACGTTTTTATATTTTGCTGGAAGACGCCCAGGGTGGTTGGGGAAACCCAACCAGATGGGCAGGGTATACATATCACTATTACTAAAGTACGGGTTTCCAGAAAAACTCCCAGTGCCCTAAAGTCAACTGGGATCTTGATTTAACACAGTTCATTTATATTCAGCAAACCAAACTGAAATAACACACCATTTTAATAGAACTGTAGAGTGGGAAGGGACCCAAGGGTCATCTAGTCCAACCTCTGCCAATGCAGGAACATTTGATGTTAATTTGATGTCCATATATAAATATATCAAATGCTTTTCAGAACAGTCAAAAGTTGCCTGAACTCAAGAAGTCCTGCTGAATTAAATGGGGTATACTCCCAGGTAGAGTGGAGTTAGGATTTATAACCTAAACCTGCTGCTCACCAACACAATTCTCCAAACTATCCCTAAACAAGGACACAAGCCACATGAGTTTACAACTACACCCTGGCACTCCTGATGTATTCTGGAACATACTTTTGGCAATATAGCTGTTGCAGACCTCTCACTTAAGATATTGCATGTGAATACAAATGAGTTGAGAAAGAGGCAAAGATTTGCTTATTGCCACAGGTAGTAATGAGAAACGTCACGGAAACTGGTTTGAAATACAATGCTGCAACACAACAGATTTCATGTTAAAGCTGTTTTACTTGAATTCTTCTAGTCCATTACTCAAGCCCAATTTCTTCACTGAAGTTGAAGAGACCACGAGACTATGGCAAGAAATAAATATTTTCTGCCACTCTCTGGTCCACATTTTTCAAACTCCTTCTCAAGGATGCCATGCTGGATGAAATCTTCCTGAAGTCTAGTTAATATACCAAAATTTATTGTATTAACCAAAGACCATAGGAATTTCATATGCAACTTGTTTCCTTTGTCTTTAAGATCTTAGGTTATAAAAGCAAGCAAGTGTTTTTTGACCCTTTACCATCATTTTAATATGATCATTTGGGGGGGGGGGGTATTTTTTTCCAGGCTCTTCATTTCATCTGCAGAAACCGTAGTGTGGGATTAACAAAACAAGCCCCAATATGACAATGCGTACTTAACTTTGCCCATTAGTTCAGCATTCCACCTTTTGTTTTTTTACTAATCAGGTATGGGAAACAATGCACTCACTCTCTTAGGATCTTTGGACGAAGTAGCTCCCACTGGATCCCTGTGAGATTCTTTCCGGAAAGACTCCACTTTCTATGGCTTGTTCTGCTTGCTGCATGATTTCAGCAAATTCTGGATCATCCAAGAAGAAGTTCATTTCTGCAATACTTCCAACATTTCCTGTATGTGCTAAATAAAACAGTTTAAATTAGGACTGTCAACTGCGTTTATCACTTACCACACAATCCTTGGCATGTCTTTGCAAAAGTAATTCCCATTAGGACCCAACATAGAGCGTACTCGCAGGTAAGCAGGCATGGGATTGTAATAATAGTTATAAAGCATCTATATTTCCTAAGTGCTATAGGTAAAGGGACCCCTGACCGTTAGTTCCAGTCGCAGACAACTCTGTGGTTGCGGTCCTCATCTCGCTTTACTGGCCGAGGGAGCCGGCGTACAGCTTCTGGGTCATGTGGCCAGCATGACTAAACAGCTTCTGGTGAACCAGAGCAGCGCACAGAAATGCCATTTACCTTTCTGCCGGAGCAGTACCTATTTACTTGCACTTTGACATGCTTTCGAACTGCTAGGTCGGCCAGAGCAGGGACCGAGAAACGGGAGCTCACCCCGTTGCGGGGATTCGAACCGCCAACCTTCTGATCGGCAAGCCCTGGCTCAGTGGTTTAGACCACAGCGTCACCCACGTCCCAATTCCTAAGTGCTATACAGAGATTAAAATACGAGGTAGCCAGCTGCTGCCTGAAGGTTCACAATCTAGCATATGAGAGAAAGGAATGGGAGAGAGAAAAGCAAACTAATTCAGGTTATCTAAACTTTGTACCTATTAGCAACTGTTCACTATGATAGCAAAATGGAATATCTCTACCTTACTGAAAAAAACATGTCTGTTTGCCAGACACAAGGGCCAAACAGTGCTTTCATGCACTGTTTTGCTAGCATGCCATCTGACCAGCCATATCATCAGGTAGACTTTTTGCTTTAAGACAGAATGGCATTTCTGAATTGGGGACTACTTGGTTCACAACTCACTTCTACAAGGAGCTCATGGAGTAACCAAAGACAGATTATTAATCCTCCCCTTCATCTGCAATGTACAGATAACAGCAGTAACCTACTTTACCGAGTTGTTCCAAAGATTACTTAAGCTTGGTCTGAACATGCAAAAGAAAGAATGGCATGGTGGAACAGACTATACCACCTTAGGATTCAGGCGAAGGGATGTGTTTTGGGTTTGCTAATTACAGAGTTTAAGACTTGTGTTCGTGGCATTATCCCCATAATAACCCTAATGAGGTGGATTAGACTGAGGAAGAGTGACTGTCCCAGGTCATCCATTTGAGCTAACAGGCCGAGTGGGGATTTGAAGCTGGGTCTCCCCAGTTGTGATCCAACAGCAAGCAATGCATCCAATTGGTCCAATAAAACATTCCCAACACGCAAGTACATCGGGGTGAAAGGCTCCAGCCCGGTCTCCTGGCTTCCTACACCTGCAAGAAGCTTCTTTTTAAAAAATAAATAAATAAAGATAAGCAACCACAAGCAGCCAGCACCTGCCACCTCATTCTGCTGCACCAGGTTTGCGGACCAGGGGGAATTAAGCACTTGGAAAGCTAAAACAACAACTACAGTGGTACCTCGGGTTAAGTACTTAATTCGTTCCGGAGGTCCGTACTTAACCTGAAACTGTTCTTAACCTGAAGCACCACTTTAGCTAATGGGACCTCCTGCTGCCGCCGCTGCACGATTTCTGTTCTCATCCTGAAGCAAAGTTCTTAACCTGAAGCGTATGTAACCTGAGGTACCACTGTATTTACGGGTGCTAAAAATCGGGAGGACTTAAAGAGGGTCGAAATGCGGATGATACGCAAAACGTCAAAAAATAAAAGCGGGTGGCGGCGGACAGACAAATGTCAAAAACACAAGCAGAAAAATAGCCTTTTCCCTGCTCCCCCCCCACCCAGATTAACCTGACAAGAGAAGCCACGTCCTGCTTTCATGACAGGGGGGGGGCAAGGGGCGAGGTTACATTCGAGGAAGCAAAACGGACGGTTCTATTTCAGCTGCGGGGGTGTGGGAAAATTCATATACTGGGGGGGGGAGCCCATCGCCTTAATTAAGAGAAAGGGGGGAGGAGGGGGGGGTCCAGCTCTAACCCCCTCCCCCTCTTATTATTATTTTTTTAAAAGGGCAAAATAATAATAAATGAAAATACTCAGAGGCCCCGGATGACAGCCCGACCACCTCCCCCCCCCCCGCCAACCTGGGCGCTGCGAACTCGCCTCACCGTGGAAACGAGCAAACAAACCGGGGCAGAACCCGGGCGCGCTCTGACCTGTGGCGCTGCGGCGGCGGCCGCCCCTCCGGCCCGAGCCCAGCAGAGGCTCCTCTTCTTCGTCGTCGTCGTCGTCGCTCCCGTCGCCCTCCGCGTCGCCGGCTCTTCCCTCGTAGTCCAGCTGCGGCCCAGCCGAGCCGCCGCCGAGGCTGACCCTGACGGCGCCTCCCGGAGCCCCCCTGGCGGCCCGGCTGCCGGGCGCCGCCGCCGCCTCCGTCCCCAGCTGGAGCAGCTCCTCGTCGTCAGCCTCTTCCTCCTCCGCCGCCTCCCCGTCGGCTGGGCCGAGAACCGGCTCGGCCCCGGACTCCGCCATGAGGGGAAAGGAGCAGCGGGCGGCTTCGGGGGGGGGGTAAAGGTCCGGCCGCCTCTCCCTCTCCTCGCGAAGTTGAGGGGAAAGTCAGGGCAGCATTGGGAGAGCGAGTGGGAGCGCGGGTGGCCTACTGCGCGTGCGCACGGTGGGCGCCGGATGTGCGATGGGGAGGAGGCAGGCAGGCAGGCTGGGCGGAAGCGCCTTACCTGAGGATTTAAAGGGCCAGCATCCCATTGCTACAGGTGGCGATGGAGGAGTAGGCAGGCCTTTCATCGCCAGGGAGGGGAAACTCAGTTTTATTATTCAGTTTTATTATTATTATTTTCCCCCCCCAAAAGAAATGTTTAGGGGTACTCTCACCCAGGATGAGGCTGTTGCAGGAATTTATGTTACAGATAGGTAGCCGTGTTGGTCTGCCATAGTCAAACAAAAAAATTCCTTCCAGTAGCACCTTAAAGACCAACTAAGTTAGTTCTTGGTATGAGCTTTCGTGTGCAAGCACACTTCTTCAGATACCAGGAATTTATGTACAGTATAGGTTGGGGGGTTGCCCCTCCAGCAGATATCATGCACATGCAGCCCACTACCAAAATCAGCACAATCGCTTTTGTGACTTTGGTGATTTGAAACTTCATCACAGTTTCTTCCATAGCTGTCAGCTTACAGATTTGAAAATAAGGGACCAGCAGCCTCGAAAGTAAGGGATCAGCAGCCAAAATAAGGGATTTTAGTCGACCACATTAAATACGAAGTTAAAAGGGACCGGGTAATTTTGGAGAGCAGTGCCGGTTTTTAGTCCTTCGTTTCCAGAGGTTGCTGCTCAAGCTGATGAAACACTGCAATTAAATAACTACAAGCAGCAACCACTTTTCGCGCAAAACGAAGTCCAAGCTACGAAGATGCTACCCCAGGCAGAGAAGCTCGGTTTGGCGGCCGCGAGGAGGATGGCGGTGGGAGGGCCCGAGGCTCCCGCCAGTCCCGGCAGGGAAGGGCTCCCGGGGGCCGAGGCTGGCAAGAGGAGGCCGGAGGGAGGCGGGACAGGCAACCAAGCAACACATTTGGAGCCTCCCTTCTCCCTGGCCGGCAGGGAGGGAGGGAGAGGATCTGCTTCCTTTGAAACCCGGGAAATTTAAGAGACATCATCAATAAGGGACAGCAGTGGGACACGGCACTGGGATAAGGGAGTTTCCTGCCAAATAAGGGACGGTTGACAGCTATGGGAGGAAGGCTAGTCATCGCCAGGGAGGTGAAACTCAGTTTTATTATTACTGCTCCCCCCCCCAAGAAATGTTATGGGGTACTCTCATCCTTGATGAGGCTGGGGGGTGCTCCTCCAGCAGATATCATGCACATGCAGCCCACTACCAAAACCAGCACACTTTTGTGACTTTTGTGACCTGAAACTTCATCACAGTTTCTTCCTATCTATTCAAAGGGCCTTTGCTGCCCGATACCAAATGTAAGAATTCACTGATAAATGTATCTATGTACTGGCTCTCTGGAAAACGTCAGAAATTCATATAGACATGTGAGCTCAGCTACTCAGCAGCCCCTCTGCCTGAGTGATAATTCCTGGCATCCTGATACCTGAGTGCCAGACAGGATCCATTCCAGAAATAACAAACCCAGATGAGGACAAAAGGATGTGATTAACTTGGCTGGGAAACAGGGAAATGGAAATATCTTTTTTGTTACACTTGATGGGTGTTTAGTGGAGGGCAAGGAGAACCATGGGGCAGGGTCCAGGATGCTCAGATTACTGCCACCAGACCTCCCTTTCATAATGTAACCGTTATGGGTTATTTGTGGGGCATAGGAATTTGTTCATTTTTTTCCCCCAAAATACAGTCCGGCCCCCCACAAGGTCTGAGGGACAGTGGACCGTCCCCCTGCTGAAAAAATTTGCTGACCCCTGGTATAATCTCAACCAGCTGCCACCTGGCTACCATCTTACTTACACGAAGGGTGCCCCCCTCCTCCCCTTGGAGAATTCAGCAGGGAGGAGAATGAAGACAAAACTAGAAAACTAGACAAAACTGCCTGTCTGACTTCCTGGTGACCTTCCTGCCTTCTGTCCGACCAGTTCCAATAGTCACCAGCCACCACAGGATATGAGTAATGCACAGGATTGCACTGAAAGTAATGGACATGCCCTAGGGGTAAGGAATGGGAATGATACACCTGTAAAATAGAAATTTTTATTAGTTGTACTTTAAAAGCTTTTTTCTGTTTAGTTATGGAAGATGCTAAAGTTTTTGAGTAAAGCATTCTATGAAAATGAATGATGCAGAAGTTTTGTAAACTGTAATTTTGTAAAATTTCTATCCTTCCCTTTGTCCTAAAGAAGCCTAGGATGGCAAACAGCAAAACACTGCATTAAAAAAAAAGTGATAATAAAACAATTTAAAACTCTCAAATATCCCCACAGCTAATAATGTCACAGGAATATTTCTAAATTCCTCCTGAATTTCAATAATGAGTGAGGAATATTCATACTGAGATCAACAGACACATCACCACCAGGGATGACATGCCATAAAGAGGGAACCACTACCAAAAATCATGATTCGGTAATTAGTAATAGATTAATTATATGTATTCTTACATATATAATGCATTTATATGACTTAAATGAGATTTCATGCTTGTTTAACTTGTTGTACCTAAAAGATATGTCAGCTTTTCTCTCTTTCTCTAGCCTTGTGTTCAATCGTGGCTGTAGGAGGATTAAAGGCAATACTGTATAATGAAAATAAATTACTGTGTGATTGAGTTATATGATGGCGCCCTCTTGTGATACATATTCAACACACACTGTAGGCGGCATTGCAGAACAGCATCATGAAGCAAAAATATTTCCTATTTGAAAACAAATATATTTACATCACTAAATATAATTCCACATGATACGTTGTCAAATTATTATCAGGGCCACAGATCTTCAAATTCTAAAAACAAAACTTTGATCCCATGCAAGAAAACAAGGTTAGGACAACTTTAAAACTGAATTTTAATTTCCAGTCGTTAAAAATATTGCAAAACAGGGGATGCACAAAGCTAATCATTAAAATGGGAGGGGAATGGAAAACCTAAGCATCATGGATGTAGCCAAGGGGGCAGAGGGGTAGCTTCCCCTCCCTAAATCAATAAAAATTCTCCCCCCCAATAAAAATAATGGCTACGCCCATGCTTAGCATCATTTAAGGATTCTGTCCACATGATCACTACATACACCCTGCACACTTTTTGCTCATTTTGATGACCTGCCCAGACTCATTAACTTGACTGAAAGCTCCTAGACAAAGTTTTCATTCAAATACTGTACACTCGAAGCAAGACTTGGCGGCACCTTTTGTCTGCAGTACTTTCTTCTGTTCTCTGCCCAGCCCCCTTCTTTAAAATGTTTGGCCTGAAAAGGAGACCTGTGAAATCTGAAAGGTTGCTCACTCCTGGTAACTTTGCGGCTAACAAATGCAATAAATTGCTGTGAATTGCCCTGAAATCTACTGATGAAGGCTTTAATAAAGTTTAATAAATGAAATAAATAATAATAATAGGATTGCTACGGGAGTTTCTCCACACCAAGGCTAAGGGAACCAGTAGAAGGGACCCACTGGCTCTCCAGATGTTGTCAAGAGACGCCAAGGATGAAGATACTGTGCTCCAACATCTGTAGAGCCCCATCACTGACCTAACTGCGCGTGCGCAGAACGAAAGCCGCGTTCTGTGGAGCGACGCCGTTGGGAAAGCGGGCGGCGAGCGCCTTCCCCTTCATCCTCCTCTCCGATAGGGGGCGCCAGTCGCTCACGTTCTTACAACGTCGAGAGGGCTTCTCTCTCACTGCCCTCGACAGATGAAAGCGTCGCGCGCGGAGTGCGCATGCGCACGGAAACCCAACCCCTCCCTCTCGGCGGAGAGCGCCCGCCTCTTCAATTCCTTCGTTTTCCTCCGCCATGAATACGGAGAACTTCCTGGCGAGCGAGAGGCTCGTGAACGCGGCCTACGTGCGGCAGGGGTCGCAGGGGCGCCGCGCGCACGAGCTCCGCTTGCGGGCCTTACTGGAGCAGGTAAAAAGCCGGGCCGGCGGGGAGTTGCTCGTCTTTTCTCCCTGAGGGAAAGCGGGAGTGGGGGCGTGGCCTCGTCTCCGGGAGCCCCGCCCACCAGCCGGCCTGCTTTTACAGGCCACGCCCCCCGAGGTGTCATTCTCCTCATGGTTCCAGTTGCAGATGGGTAGCCGTGTTGGTCTGCCATAGTCAAAACAAAAAAAATTTCCTTCCAGTAGCACCTTAAAGACCAACTAAGTTAGTTCTTGGTATGAGCTTTCGTATCTGAAGAAGTGTGCATGCACACGAAAGCTCATACCAAGAACTAACTTAGTTGGTCTTTAAGGTGCTACTGGAAGGAATTTTTTTGTTTATTCTCCTCATGGAACAGGCATAAGCAAACGGCCCTCCAGATGGGACTACAACTCCCATCATCCCCTGACCACTGGTCCTGTTAGCTAGGGATGATGGGAGTTGTAGTCCCAAAACATCTGGAGGGCTGAGATTGCCTCTGCCTGTCATGGAACAAAAGCAAGGTTTAGTCCTCATGGCCTGAATTAAAAGGCTAATTTAAGGAGGATATCTGACTTTTTGGGACGTGGGTGGCGCTGTGGGTTAAACCACAGAGCCTAGGCTTGCCGATCAGAAGTCGGTGGTTCGAATCCTCCGTGACGGGGTGAGCTCCCGTTGCTCCTGCCAACCTAGCAGTTTGAAAAGCACATCAAAGTGCAAGTAGATAAATAGGTACCGCTCTGGCGGGAAGGTAAATGGCATTTCCGTGCGCTGCTCTGGTTCGCAGAAGCGGCTTAGTCATGCTGGCCACATGACCCGGAAGCTGTATGCCAGCTCCCTCGGCCAATAAAGCGAGAATGAGCGCTGCAACCCCAGAGTTGTCACAACTGGCCTAATGGTCAGGGTCCTTTACCTTTTTTATCTGACTTTTAGAAGACAGCCCTGTATCGGGAAGTTTTTATGTTTGATGTTTTATCGTATTTTTATTTAATTCTGCCGGGAGCCGCTCAGAGTGGTTGGGAAACCCAGCCAGATGGGCAGGGTAATAATAATTTATTATTATTATTATTATTATTATTATTATTATTATTATTATTATACAGAGTCATTTAGTTCATCTAGTCCAGTATTGTCCACACTAACTGGCAACAGCTCTCCAAGGTTTAAACACCACCTGGAGGTGCCATTGGGGATTGAACATGGCAAGGCAGGCACTCTGCCACTGAGCTACAGCTCTTATGCAGCCCTGGGCGCAAAAGGACACCCCACCCCGGCCGTCGGTGGGAGCGCCTCTGATTCAGTGATGTAAAACCCTGAGGCCAATAATAATAATAAATTTTATTTATACCCCTCCCTCCCCAGCCAAGACCGGGCTCAGGGCAGCTAACAACCAATAATAAAAACAAGTTGATTAAAATACAATTTAAAAAAGATTAAATACAACATTAAAACTCTAGGATGCAGCCAGTTCACAGGAGGAGAAAGGAAAAAGAAAGAGGGGGAGCGAATTCAAACTGATTCTAAGCCAAAGGCCAGATGGAACAACTCTGTCTTACACGCCCTGCCGGAAAGAAATCAGATCCCTCAGGGCCCTGGTCTCATGAGACAGAGCGTTCCACCAAGCCGGGGCCAGTGTTGAGAAGGCCCTGGCTCTGGTTGAGGCTAATCTAACTTCCTTAGGGCCCGGGACCTCTAGGGTGTTGCTACCGTATTTTTCGCACGATTGGACGCACCGGACCATAGGACGCACCTAGTTTTCAGGGGGGGAAATCAAGGAAAAAATATGATTCCCCCCCCCCAGCTCTGGGAGCAGTGGACAGGCTGCACGCAGCCTGTGCGCTACTCCAAGACCTTCTCCCTGCTTTTGCGGGAGGTGGCGGAATTCCCCCATCTCCCGCAAAAGTCGCAGGAGGGAGAAGGGACTGACTCGGCAGTCAGTCCCTTCTCCTCCTTGGGGAAAGCCCCCAAGAGCTGCGCGCTCTGTAAAGGCTGCGCGGCTTTGCAGGCTTTGCTGCAGGCTTTTGGGGTGGGGGAATCCCCCCACCTCCTAGAAAAGCCAGCAAAGCCGTGCAGCCCCTTTAAAGAGCGCACGGCTTTTGCCTGCTTTTGCGGGAGGTGGGGAATTCCCCCATCTCCCGCAAAAGCCGCAGGAGGGAGAAGGGACTGACTCGGCCAGTCAGTCCCTTCTCCCTCCTTGGGGAAAAGCCCCCAAGAGCTGCGCGCTCTGTAAAGGCTGCGCGGCTCTTGCAGGCTTTTCTGCGAGGTGGGGGAATCCCCCACCTCCTAGAAAAGCCAGCAAAGCCGTGCAGCCCCTTTAAAGAGCGCACGGCTTTTGCCTGCTTTTGCGGGAGGTGGGGGAATTCCCCCATCTCCCGCAAAAGCCCGCAGGAGGGAGAAGGGACTGACTCGGCCAGTCAGTCCCTTCTCCCTCCTTGGGGAAAAGCCCCAAGAGCTGCGCGCTCTGTAAAGGCTGCGCGGCTCTTGCAGGCTTTTCTGCGAGGTGGGGAATCCCCCACCTCCTAGAAAAGCCAGCAAAGCCGTGCAGCCCCTTTAAAGAGCGCACGGCTTTTGCCTGCTTTTGCGGGAGGTGGGGGAATTCCCCATCTCCCGCAAAAGCCGCAGGAGGGAGAAGGGACTGACTCGGCCAGTCAGTCCCTTCTCCCTCCTTGGGGAAAAGCCCCCAAGAGCTGCGCGCTCTGTAAAGGCTGCGGGCTCTTGCAGGCTTTTCTGCGAGGCTGGGGCGAGGTGGGGGAATCCCCCCACCTCCTAGAAAAGCCAGCAAAGCCGTGCAGCCCCTTTAAAGAGCGCACGGCTTTTGCCTGCTTTTGCGGGAGGTGGGGGAATTCCCCATCTCCCGCAAAAGCCCGCAGGAGGGAGAAGGGACTGACTCGGCCAGTCAGTCCCTTCTCCCTCCTTGGGGAAAAGCCCCCAAGAGCTGCGCGCTCTGTAAAGGCTGCGCGGCTCTTGCAGGCTTTTCTGCGAGGTGGGGGAATCCCCCCACCTCCTAGAAAAGCCAGCAAAGCCGTGCAGCCCCTTTAAAGAGCGCACGGCTTTTGCCTGCTTTTGCGGGAGGTGGGGGAATTCCCCATCTCCCGCAAAAGCCGCAGGAGGGAGAAGGGACTGACTCGCCAGTCAGTCCCTTCTCCCTCCTTGGGGAAAAGCCCCCAAGAGCTGCGCGCTCTGTAAAGGCTGCGAGGCTCTTGCAGGCTTTTCTGCGAGGTGGGGGAATCCCCCCACCCTCGCTAGAGAAGCCAGCAAAGCCGTGCAGCCCCTTTAAAGAGCGCACCGGCTTTTGCCTGCTTTTGCGGGAGGTGGGGGAATTCCCCCATCTCCCGCAAAAGCCCGCAGGAGGGAGAAGGGACTGACTCGGCCAGTCAGTCCCTTCTCCCTCCTTGGGGAAAAGCCCCCAAGAGCTGCGCGCTCTGTAAAGGCTGCGAGGCTCTTGCAGGCTTTTCTGCGAGGCTCTTGCAGGCTTTTCTGCGAGGTGGGGGAATCCCCCCACCTCCTAGAAAAGCCAGCAAAGCCGTGCAGCCCCTTTAAAGAGCGCACAGCTTTTGCCTGCTTTTGCGGGAGGTGGGGGAATTCCCCCATCTCCCGCAAAAGCCCACAGGAGGGTTGGAGAGCAGCGGGAAGGCGTCGCGCGCCTTCCTGCTGCCCCCCATCCTCTGGGCTGGCGATGGGGAAGCGCTGCTTTCCCCCCGCCAGCCTCAAAGAGCAGACTCTCCTGGCTTCAGCGGAAGCAACGGGAAGCCTCCGGAGCGCAGGCTTCGGAGGCTTTGCCTTGCTATCGCTGAAGCCAGGGAGCCTGCATTCGCTCCATAGGACGCACACACATTTCCCCTTAGTTTTTAAGACGGAAAAACTGCGTCCTATGGTGGCGAAAAATACGGTATTTATGGACCTTAAGGTGGCTTGTCCACATAGCAGCGAGGTCGGAAGCTTCCCACTGGCGCCTTGGCATGGTTTTAGCTACTGGCAGCCTTTTCTCTTTGCAGTTAAGGGCGATTTACTCTGCCACGTCTCTGAATGCACTTTAAAGTGCATCCAACACACATTTGAAGTGTGTGACACCTCCCCCCAAAAAGGAACACCGGGAACTGTAGTTTTTAAGGGTTCTGGGTCTTGTAGCTCTGTGAGTGGGCAGCTATAGTTTCTCAGGGCTCTTTGGGGGAAGTCATGTGCTTTAAATGCTCGTTCGGTGCTCTTTAAATGTATGGTATGGATCTGATAATTGTCTACTCATAGAACAAGAAGCACACTATAAACAGTGAGGAGTTTTGTATCATATATATTTTGTGATTTTCCATACCTAGCCAGGCCCATTGAGATGGCATAGGAGGAAAGGCAGGAAGTAATAATACCTTATTTTTGGCAGAGCTGTCAGAAACCTTTGTTCTTCTGACTTGTTAGTTACATCTCTTAGGTCCGGCCAGCTTAATATGTAACCTAATGCTATTGAGTGAGCATTCATAGAAAGTCCCACTGAATTTGTTTGCTTACTCCCTACCTACTTTAGACACTTTACTGAAGAAAATAACCTTGGATGATTTGCACAGTCTTTTTTCATCTGCAAAATAATGTGTCCTCTCCATATGCACACTTAATTGTGAACATAGCTTGAGATAGTGTTAACTTCATCCTTGTGCTTCTGGACTAGGTTTCCCTGTTAGCTTTGAAATTCAAGCAAAAGTGGTAGCTATATTGCAGGCACGTCAAACAGGTGGATCGTGAACTACCGGTAGATCACTGGACGTGTGTGGTAGATCAGTGGCTCCCCTCAAAGAAGCTGTACAAGTTTTGCTCCCCTAGAAAAAACTCAGTTTTTTTGCCCTGCATCCCCCAAAACAGGGCTTCCTAAAAAAAGCTCAAAAACTTTGACCTGAACCCCAAAAAAGGGGGTAGATCACTGCCAGCAGATCGCAGTCTCTTGGGAGTTGGCCACCCCTGCTATATTGGAAATGGTGCCTCAGTTCAGACAGTCTTTCACTGTTTTCTAAACAACTAAACTAATCTAAACTGTAATTGAGATTGGATATGTGCACTCTTACCCCTCTTGCATGTGAATTTTTTTCTCTTTTCTACGTTTTGCTTTAATCACAGTTAAAGCCTTGTGGTTTAGAGCTTATCAGGATTTGGGAAGAAATTGTGGTGTGCAAACCTACTCCAGTCAGCATTTCAAGTTAGGGTTTCAGGCAATCCTGGTCAACTGTTGTTTTTAGCCCCAATGAAGATGTAACCGTAAACTGTGGTTATGAGCCATAGAAGGGAGTTCAACATTTGCATTTGAGAGGGGGAAAGGAAGTGTGCAAACCTGCTGCATGTTCACCTCCAAACCAGGGGTACAGCACCTGAAGTGAGCCAATGTTGCATTCCTGCAAGGCAAATGGTGTGAGTTTGAACACCTTGATATTTTTCTGCATGAAACTAAATGACATTGGTGGGTTTAAAAAGAAGTTTCTTTGCAGTACTTTGCAATAATAGAGAACTTTTCAATTAAAAAATGTGGTTTTTTTCAAGTTACAGTTTCATTTTTCCTTATTCTAGTTGAGCTTATCTAAGAAAATGAAACAACAACAATGTGTAAATGTATGTACTTTAACTGTATTGTATTTAATTGTACTGTTTTCTGAAGGGCAAATGTCCTGAAGATGGATGGGATGAAAGCACTATTGAACTTTTTCTCCATGAACTGGCAATTATGGACAGCAATAATTTCCTAGGCAACTGTGGTGTGGGTGAGAGGGAAGGAAGAGTGGCATCAGGGCTAGTAGCCCGCCGGCATTACAGGTAAATACGGCTTTTTTAATATGACAAGTGACTTATTTCTCTTTTATACTTGTTTTCCTCCTGTGAAGGAATGTGCATAACTAGGTAGCAACTAGATTTTATATTCCCCAAAATGAGGGCTCAGCCATTGTATTGCTGTATGTTTATGCGTGCTAGAATTTACTGGTAATTAAGGTTTGGGCTGTGAAGGCTATTTTCTTGGAGGTGATAGCTAGACACAGACCCAGTGTGTATCTAAGCCAGGGGTCTGCAAGGTTTACTGGTCATGGGCTGGATCGCTCCCACGGAGATTATCCGTGGGCCAGACCAGCGCAGCGCAACACCGGAAATTGCGTCTGCACATGTCCGTGGCGCCAGAAATTGCTTCTGCGCATGCCCAGAAGCCGAAAAATCACACCTGTGTGGAAGCGTTTTTTGGTGTCTGGACATGTGCAGATGCGATTTCCAGCTCCGCTCAGCAAGTCCCCGCGCTGTGTTACGCCGGTTTAGCGCAACGCGTGGAGGACTCGCTGAGTGGGCGGCTTGGTTCGGGGGCCGGTAAAATGGTCTTCGTGGTCTGCATCCGGCCCTGGGCCACACGTTGCCAACCCCTGATCTAAGCCATTCGCTAGACCTTGTTAAGCCAAGTATAAAAGCTGACTAACTCAGATAATTTCCTTTTGAGGTGTTAGGCTAGGGATGAACCATTTAGGCAACACAAAGGATAGAAACCATATCTCACTTGGAAATGAGTGGGTTTCCTTCCTTCTTCAAAGAGGTTTAGTTTAAAAGACAATGCTGGTGTTTTCAGAAAGGTTAGAGTTTAGAATGGCAGTTAGGAGTTAAGCAACAGAGTTACTAAGCAGGGGACAGGGGAGAGAGTCAGAAAGCAGAATGCTGGTGTCTTAATCAAACACTATGGAGAAGCAATAACCTCTTGCATTGTAATGCTGGAGATCCCTCTGTGGTAGTCTTAGGTTGTAAATATATGTAAATAAACCATATATCATAAGGACAACACAGTTTCTGCTGCTCCTCATTGTTCAAAAGGAAACACAGACCCTGAATAAACATAGCTGGTATTCCTGGAATCTGGAATCTTGCACTACTCATAAGTAGGGGTAGCAGGTAACAGTATATTCCTTCTTCCCAGCATCCTTCAGTGTAGTCTGAAACCTGCATAGCACATAAGAGTCTTGTTTGAATGTTGACTACTTCCTCCCATGTTCCACCTTGAGATTTTCCATCTTAGTTCCATTGTTTAGCAACTGAAAATTCAAAAATCTGCACAGCATTTTCTGACATTTTGATTCGTTTAATAAATACCAGTATCAGCTTTAGAATGGTTCTTATGGATTATGATGGCTAGCTCTACTTTTTTGCTGCTTTTTCAAGTTGTTTGGTTTTTTTTTTACACAGATATTGTGTTTAAATATGCTTTTTATTTTTAAAACAAACAGCGCAACAAACTCAGTACATATCACTTAAACAAGAAGATTGGCACTTTAACCTGGTTTATTGGCCAATTCCAGTGCTTACTAGAGTAGCAAATATATATGGAATGGGGTATACTAGTTGCTTCACCATTACTTTCTCACGAAGGATGGTGTCACACTAATGTTTGTTTTATTTAGATCATTAGTATACCACATTAGATTTTCTTTTTTTTAAAAAAAAATCTTAAGTAGTTTACAGCATATCTTAAAATATTTGAAGTACAACGTTACTAATATCAGAGTAGATTTTCAGATTTATTTATATACAAATTACAAATCGTATACAAAAATGCAATAGTAACCCACATTTAGAAACAACATAATCACTGTTGAAACAAAATATCCTCTTAAAGATTACAAAAAGAGAAGTAAAGATCAAATCGAAAAATACATTAAAAATCCTGCATCTTATAAAATATTATTAGCAGCTAAACAAAATCACTGAAGTAGAAGCTGTACCCATGCTTTCCTTCATAGTAATTTTCCCCCAAACACATTCTTAGTACTCTCTAACATACAGATCTCAGCCATTCACACCAACCGTATCCATAATGCAGTAATCTATTGCAGACAGTGGTGCCTCGGGTTACAGATGCTTCAGGTTACAGACTCTGCTAACCCAGAAATAGAACCTTGGGTTAAGAACTTTGCTTCAGAATGGGAATAGAAATCGTGCAGCGGCGGCAGGAGGCCCCATAAGCTAAAGTCATACCTCAGGTTAAGAACAGTTTCAGGTTAAGAACAGACCTCCAGAACAAATTAAGTTCTTAACCCGAGGTACCACTGTATTGCAGTTGTGTAGCACTGGTCCAGTTTGTGGATTGCAGGTAGAATCTCATTAAGCTAATATATGATTTTGGGTCTGGGTTTTGTCCATTTGCAAATTTCTGAATTTGCATATACTGTACATTTATAGCTTGATATTTTGTTATGAGCAGAAATAATTTATAGTATTCCAATATTCCCATCATCCAAGGCAAAAGAGTTAAGGGCAGGATGGGAGATGCATACAGCACTTGGGGGATATAATCATGATGTTCTTTGCACCATGTGTGCATTATTTAACAGAAGGTCAGCCAACTGTACCAAGAAGGTACAGCCTTCTGCCCAAGTACCTCTTTCTTCCAACTTCACACATGATAAGTGTTGCCAGAGCAGACAGAGTTGGTTTCATCCTAAGGCCATAAGGACAGGTATTTCAGCTGAACTGTGTACCTGTTCTCTCTCATCCTAAACGATAACAGTAGGTGCATGGTTCCTGAGAAGAGAGACCATAATTACAAACGGGTCCTTTTCTCATTTGCTGTGTTCCTAATGCGAGTAGATTGCTTGTATGAACAGGTTTTTATATCTTTTTGAACATATGAACTCCTGCTTGGTATGCTAAAAATGTGAAAATAATTTCTTTGCTGCTATGTTAACAAATATTAGCATAGTGAAATTGAATTTTTGGATGAAGAAATAAATGATGTATTCCTCTCTTCCACTTCAGCTTAATTAGTTTTACAGTGGAACATTTACCCTTCACCAGCGCACTAATCAGAATTTCTTCTATCCCATATATTAAAACAAAAACATATTAAACATCAGTTACATGCATATATTGAATTATGGGAGTTGCATTTTTAAATGACCCTTATGACAGATTAATTGCGGCTAACATGAACAAAAGCCCATTAAAATTGATTTTATTCAAATGAAGCAGAGCTTATGGGCAAACTCAGCTTCTAAGGGCCTAAAGTCCCAGGTCATCTGGCACTTGAATGGGCTGTTGTATAATTTACAGCCAACACATTTTAAAATATAAGCTTACTTTGCTGCTCCAAACAGTATGCATTTGTTGTTCCAGCTGTCATTACAAGTGACACTCTATCACTTACAATTATTCCAACACTGTAAGAATTATAATTCTTACAGTGTTGGAATAATTGTAAGTGATAGAATGACAAAGAGCTCCATGTTTTTTGGGATGCCCACTCCTTATATGTAGTTGCCACCTGCCCCTCACCTAAGTCTTCTGGGTGTGTTAAAGAACTGGGGACAATGGGATCAATATGTCTCCCTGCTTGGCTTAGCAGAAGGCAGAATCAGTGCCGAGGCCTATTTTGCTTCGGTCCTTGCAAGGAACCTCCATGTGAAATGGAACGACCCATCTTCTGCATCCAGGTCCTCTGGCATGCACAGAAGACTTCGACAGAGCTCAGGGTCTTGTTTTTACCTTGCACAGCTGCTTAAGGAAGGCAAACATTGGGTTGAGGGGCTTGTAATGTTTGGAATAAAGAATGACAAACCTAGACAGCATCTTACAAAGCAGAGACATCACCTTGCCAACAAAGGTCCGTATAGTTAAAGCTATGGTTTTCCCAGTAGTGATGTATGGAAGTGAGAGCTGGACCATAAAGAAGGCTAATCGCCGAAGAATTGATGCTTTTGAATTATGGTGCTGGAGGAGGCTCTTGAGAGTCCCATGGACTGCAAGAAGATCAAACGTCTCCATTCTTAAGGAAATCAGCCCTGAGTGCTCACTGGAAGGACAGATCCTGAAGCTGAGGCTCCAATACTTTGGCCACCTCATGAGAAGAGAAGACTCCCTGGAAAAGACCCTGATGTTGGGAAAGATGGAGGGCACAAGGGGAAGGGGACGACATAGGACAAGATGGTTGGATAGTGTTCTCCAAGCTACCAGCATGAGTTTGACTAAACTGCGGGAGGCAGTGGAAGACAGAAGTGCCTGGCGTGCTCTGGTCCATGGCATCACGAAGAGTCGGACACGACTAAACAACTAAACAACAACAACAACAATGTTTGGAATGGATTGAGGAACCATCAAGCGTTGAAGCACAAAGGCAACTGCGAGAGCATCCTGTAGGAGAGGGAGACAGGGAACCTATACAGTTTGTTTCATTCTGTGTCATGTAACCATGGAAGAGATATTGGCCACAGATCATGGTTAAGACAAAGAGACCTTAATCATGAACCTTGACTCAGCTGTCATGCCACCCTGTGCTTAAAGGACCGTCAAGTAGCAAAGTGAATGCAAACTCCTCTCCTGGAGTCAGCATGTTCACATGGTGCAGGTAAACCAGAGTTTAGCATACCATGATAATGCACACTGGGTCACTGGTGCCTTTCAGGTGCTCAGCATCCCCTCTTGTGTTTGCAGGGCAGGCAGCAGAACTGGCTAAATTGCCAAGCTGCCATAAACAGCTGTTGGCTGCCTTCAGCTTGGTGGGTCACAAGTTTTGTAGGTCTACATAGCGGTAGATACAATAACTGAATTTACAGTAAGCCACATAGGTAAAGGTAAAGGGACCCCCGACCATTAGGTCCAGTCGTGACCGACTCTGTATTGGCCGAGGGAGCCGGTGTACAGTTTCCGGGTCATGTGGCCAGCATGACTAAGCTGCTTCTGGTGAACCAGAGCAGCGCACGGAAACACCGTTTACCTTCCTGCCGGAGCAGTACCTAATTATCTACTTGCACTGGCGTGCTTTCGAACTGCTAGGTGGGCAGGAGCTGGGACCGAACAACAGAAGCTCACCCCGTCGCGGGGATTCAAACCGCCGACCTTGTGATCGGCAAGCTCTAGGCTCTGTTGTTTAACCCACAGCGCCAAGTCACATATTTTGAAGTTAATGCCAGTACAATTCATGAAGTTGGTTCTCACTACGTCATGGTGCAAAACTCTGTATCTGAGTATCTATTTTTCTGTTAAAGGTTGCATTTCCTTCCCAACCTTCTGTTTCGTTTCCAGGTTGATCCATGGGATTGGAAGGTCAGGCGATATTTCTGCTGTTCAGCCAAAAGCTGCAGGCTCCAGTCTCTTGAACAAACTTACTAATTCAGTTGCCTTGGATATCATAAAACTTGCCGGTAAGTGTGGAGCCAAGCGCATGAGTTCCCTTACAGGTACTTGCAATATTTTAAGAGCGTTTGTTTTTCACGTCTGATTTTTGTCTTTTACCTGCAGGTGTCAGGACAGCAAGTAGCTGCTTTGTGGTCCCCATGGCAACTGGCATGAGCCTAACATTATGCTTCCTAACACTACGACATAAGAGACCAAAGGCAAAATACATTATCTGGCCCCGCATAGACCAGAAATCCTGTTTCAAGTCAATGATCACTGCAGGTAAAAGGGTTTGTGTGGAGTGCTGGGGATTCTTGTTGCTTGCTTAGCACAAGCTCTGAACATGTTGTTTGATTCTTGGTAAACGGGCTGCTAACGCCTTCCTGGGACTGCAATAAAAGGAGAGGGCTTGTCAAATACCTTGCAATACATGACTAGAGGTTTTGTTTTTGTTTTTTGCATGGTAGGTCGGAAATTGTGTAGGCCTGCAATATATATAACTTACTGGAAGCCTGAAACAAGCTATGATTTTAAGTAATTATTTGCAAAATTCAGTTTCATTCCTTCTCTTCTTCTATCGTTTTCTGGCTTCCCAGTTATCTTTGAAACACACAGTCTCTTTTGTCCCTGGGTCATGTGAGGATTTTTCTAAAGCCACACAAACCTTATACTTCTCGGCAGAAATCATACTGATTTTCAATATTCTATTGCTCACGTTCTATTTGAAGAGTGAGAATATGTGTGAACATTCTGTAGCATCCTAGCAGCTTGTTCAGAGGCTGATTAAGAACTTGCAGACAAGCACCTGTGGTAGAGATCCACAAAATCTGCAATAGCTGCCAAGAAGGAAAATAGCCAATAAGCTCCTGAAAGGCTAACTTACAATAAGTCTGTGAATTTTTTGAGATTTACGTCAAGTGTGATGTAAGCTGCCTCAACACCTTTGCTATATTCTGCAGCATTTCTTTTCAGAGTGTTCAAACCACTTTTGACACACGTAGAATATTATGTCCATCTTCCAGGTTTTTTTACTGGAAGCTGGATGTTCACTCCATCTTGCAGGATGTTTTTGCTAACAATATTTTAAATCGAGTCTAGAGAGAGTAACTCTGGCTGCTATATCTTATGTTTGAACGTCAGGTCTTGCTCTTAATTTTAATTTTCCATGGGATGTTGTATGGCGAGTGCCAGTGAAATAATTTCCTAGACTGATGATGCAATACCAGTTTATTTACTGATATCCATAGTGGCTAATATTAAAGTTTAATACTAATTTTAATAGAATAGTCTTTGTCATTTTAAATAGAATAGTTGTCTCTGTAGTAAGCAATGAGAATAAAATCAAACAAAGGAGGCACACTGGAGTGAAGATAGGCACATAGAGTGAAGATTAAATTGTAGGAGAATCCAGGATGCCTACTCATACATTGTTTTTGTTGGCTGGACTAGGTTTTGAACCTGTGGTGGTAGAAAATGTATTAGAAGGTGACGAGCTGCGTACAGACCTCAAGGCAGTGGAAGCTAAAATCCAGGATCTTGAGGCTGATAATATACTCTGTGTTCATTCTACCACATCATGTTTTGCTCCAAGGGTGCCTGACAGGTAAATAAAGCAACATGTAAACTTTTGGTAGCTATAATTTATATTTGACTTTGAGGGTAGTAATGATGCTGCTGCCTGTGATTGACTAAGTTTCCCTAATCTCCAAGACTTGCAGGCATAGGCAAACTCCGGACCTCCAGATGTTTTGAGACTACAATTCCCATCATCTCTGACCACTGGTCCTGTTAGCTAGGGATGATGGGAATTGTAGTTCCAAAACATCTGGAGGGCGGGAATTTGCCTATGCCAGTCCAAGAGGGATCAGATAATGGAGAAGGGTCTCTGGCTGTCTTTGGTTGAGCTTCTCATGTCCTAGAATGAGTCACCCACAGGCAGAGGGACAGGAGGAAATAGAAAATAGAGAGACGGGATCGTGAGCAGGCCTCAAGCTAATGGAAGCAGTGTAGGGGAGATGGGGATGGGAACTAGGAAAGAAAGACTGGGAATTGTCCAGAGCTGCGAGGAAGACCATGGAGCATACTTTAGCGAGGAAGGAAAGTGGGGAGAAAGTTGGCAGAAACTAGAGGTTCACATGGCCAGGAACTCAGGAAGGAGGATGTAATTGACACAGTCTGCCAGATATTTGATGGAGATCTATGACTGAGATACATTTTATGGTCTGGTTTTAAGCTGACTGTATCCTTGCTAGAGTAAGAGTTCAACCACAAGACTGGGGGAATCTCTTTGTACGATACTACTCTAGATTACAGGTAAGGAATTGTATGTTTGAATGCTCTCTTGTGTTAAAGTGAAACCTCCTGCACTTAAAAAACTAGCATTTTATAGGTAAGGTTCTGTTGTGCTGGCTTGTTTGTACAGAGAAATCTTAAATGTCAGAATATTTGCATGTTAGTATTCAACAGTTCATGGAAAGACTGGAGGGAGTTCCTAACTAGGATATGAATATTACCAGGTGGACCAAAAGTCAGACAAACGATTTTTATCATACCTGCTTTAGATTAATGATCCTCCACAACTGTACTTTAGAGTAAAGTTATTCTTGCAAATTGCTTTTCCTGAGGGCCTCTAATTAGGATGGATATCATCTTTAGCTGCTGGAATTATTGAAAGAGAAACAACTTCTTTAACGTCTAATTTTTCTGCTACCTCTCTGTTGATGCTCATTTGATAACCTTATAGGAAGTGTTGACTAATCGTGCCTACTCTGAAGTAATTAAGCTCTGTTGAATTTAGTGGGGCTCACACCCATGTATGTGGAGCTAGGATTGCAGCCTAAGTCATTCCATTCCCAGCAGTTAAAACAAAAGTAATTAACAAAATTTTAAATTCCATAAAAATGCATCACTATTCATTTTGTGAACTCTTCATCTGGGATGGTCAGCAAAAATTTGTTTGGAACACTTCTGGACTCCACAAAATATAACACTTCAACTCTGCTTTTCTATTCAAAGTTGAACCGTATTCCAATTTTGTGGGTAAATGATTTGGGCTTGTGGATGGGAGACAAAGATTGGGCTGAGAAACTAATAAATTGTGATTGCGGTTGCAGAGGGTAAGAAAATTTATCCTCTAAATTGGATTGTCTTTCAAGCAGTGGTGGTAAAAATGATCTGTAGTATAAACTGTGTAAATAACTTCCTTCATGCATGCAAATATGTATCTGCAGTTACGTAATGAGGAGCACAGTCAAGGGTTTTACAGGTTTAGTGATTCCTATTAACACATTTACCACTGTCACATATTATAGCAATGGCCAAAAGCATCTCCTAGCATAAGATAGTCTTCCTCTCTATTTTTTAGACCTTTATCTTGCCTTACTACTTCTTTTCTCTTCCTCATTTCCATATTACCTTTTTGTATTGTTTTAATTCAGTTGTTTCAAAAATGGCAGATGCATAGGATTTTGCATCCTGTGATCTTAATCCAGAGTGTTCTGCATATGATCCTTGACCTAGCTATATATTATGGGGTAGATAGGATAGTAGTTTTAGACTGCGTCCAAGGAACTTCTGGGGTTTCACAGAAAGCTAGTGGAAGGGATATTCTCCAGCGAATGTATCAGTAATGACTGACAGGCCCTGCAGAACAGCTTGTGTGCCAGTACCCATCTTCTCCCACGGGACATGGGTGTGTGAGTGTCTGGTATGTCCAAAATTTCATGGCAGGCAAGCTAGGAAAGTATTTCCTAAAGGCAAAAAGTTTGAAAATTACTGATGTAGGGGAAAGATGATCAAGATCACCTGAAACAGCAACACACACACACACACACACACACACACACACCAGCATTGAACTGTTGGATTGTGACCTCAATGTCAAGTACTAGCTGGAATTTGCAGTCCTCCTCTAGAAGTCTTTGCATTTAGAAATATAAAAAGGTAAAGGGACTCCTGACCATTAGGTCCAGTCGTGACCGACTCTGGGGTTGCGGTGCTCATCTGGGGTTGTGGTGCTCATCTCGCTTTATTGGCCGAGGGAGCCAGCGTACAGCTTCCGGGTCATGTGGCCAGCATGACTAAGCTGCTTCTGGCAAACCAGAGCAGCGCACGGAAACGCCGTTTACCTTCCCGCCGGAGCGGTACCTATTTATCTGCTTGCACTTTGACATGCTTTCGAACTGCTAGGTTGGCAGGAGCAGGGACCGAGCAACGGGAGCTCACCCCATCGCGGGGATTCAAACCGCTGACCTTCTGATCGGCAAGTCCTAGGCTCTGTGGTTTAACCCACAGCGCCACCCGTGTCCCTTCTTTAGAAATATAGTCACATATAAAAGTTGAACTTCTGAGTAAGAATCTTTTTTTCCTTTTACTGTAAATTAGTTTTGGCTAGACTGAATTGGTTATTTAAATATATTGTTGATTTATTGATTTAATAAACGTTTGTACAAGTATGTGGTAAAAGGATAAAAAGTTGGTCTAATAATTCTGCCTTAGTGCCGTGAATGTTGTCTAAACCGAGTTGGAAAAAAATTCTGAATCAAACCAGGGATGTGAAAATAAAAATAACCTAATCTCAGGCCATTGCAATTTGCCGTTCATTTCTCTGCCGCCAGCTTTGTAGTCCGGTACATTGTTGTGCGCTGTCTCATTCCTGAAACTATGAATTTAAAATATTCAATGGCATTTGAAGGGCCTTTTTTTTATTAAAGGACTGCTGTCAACCCCTGAAGGTCACACATTTATCTTTTCAACAGGATTGCCCCCATTGCTGCAACCTTAGAAAATATATTTCAACTTTGCTATAACATTTTGTCTAGGTATCAGATGAAATGGCATTTTCCTTTTATAACTTTTATGTGGTCATTTACTATTCCTTTGCATGTAAAGACTATTTGAACTCCCATGTTAGGGACCCCTGCCCGAGGAAAGTGCAGGCATAATTGTATTCCTTCCTCCAAAGTTTCATACTTCATATAATTATTTCTCGGGAGCACCTATCTCCTCAGCCAGCTCACTTGTTCTACCCTTAGACTGCAATCCATTGAACTCTTACTTCTCAGTAAGCATGTATAAGATCATGCAGTTACAATGCAAACCAAACCAGAAATAGGTGTGCACACTGTTTTGAGTGGTTCTAAATGCACCTTACTTGTTGATTGGATTGCGACCTGTTTTTCTAGCTGTTGTTCTAAACCAGAGATGGCAAATGCCCATATTCTTAAACTACTACATTCTGCAAAAATTCAGTAGCCAGATCTACCTGAGCCTAGGGTTTGCCAATCGGAAGGTCGACGGTTCGAATCCCCGCGATGGAGTGAGCTCCCGTTGTTTGGTCCCAGCTCCTGCCCACCTAGCAGTTCGAAAGCACATCAAAGTGCAAGTAGATAAATAGGTACCACTGTGGTGGGAAGGTAAACACCATTTCAGTGAGCTGCTCTAGTTCACCAGAAGCGGCTTAGTCATGCTGGCCACACGACCCGGAAGCTGTCTGCGGACAAACGCCGGCTCCCTCGGCCAATAGAGCGAGATGAGCGCTGCAACCCCAGAGTCATCCACGACTGGACCTAACGGTCAGGGGTACCTTTACCTTTTACATATCTATATAAAATAAAGCACGCAGCAGATGGTTTTAAAACATCCTTTTCCTCCTGCATTTCACTTTAAATACATTTGAGAGTGGCCCTTTGAATCTCTTTGAACTCTGGCATCTCTGCAACCTTGCTGTTCAGAGCTCCTGCAACCAAGAGCAAAAGTAATTGATGTTCCTGCAAGGAGGGCATCCTAGCCTATAACATTAAACTTAACGACTGCTGCCTGAACTCCCAGACCATTAAATGTTGAGGAAAGTGGTGGTTCAGTTGCTGTGCAGCAGCCTACCTTGCATTGGCTTCTGAAGCAGGGCGTGCTTAATAATAATAATAATAATAATAATAATAATAATAATAACAACATAAATTTTATTTACTATATTTTTCGCCCTATAGGACGCACTTTTCCCCCTCCAAAAATGAAGGGGAAATGTGTGTGCGTCCTATGGGGCGAATGCAGGCTTTCGCTGAAGCCTGGAGAGCAAGAGGGGTCGGTGCGCACCTACCCCTCTGGCTCTCCAGGCTTCGTGGACCTCTCCGCAAGCAGCGGGAGCGCTCCCGCTGCTTGCGGAGAGTTGCCGGCATGCCGAAGCCTGCGCGCGCTGAGATCAGCGCGTCCAGGCTTCGTGGACCTCCCTGCAAGCAGCGGGAGCGTTCCCGCTTCTTGCGGAGAGTTGCCGGCATGCCGAAGCCTGCGCACGCTGAGATCAGCGCGTGCAGGCTTCGCCACCTCCCCGCAAGCAGCGGGAGCGCTCCCGCTGCTTGCGGAGAGTTACCGGCATGCCGAAGCCTGCGCACGCTGAGATCAGCGCGTCCAGGCTTCGTGGACCTCTCCGCAAGCAGCGGGAGCGCTCCCGCTGCTTGCGGAGAGTTGCCGGCATGCCGAAGCCTGCGCACGCTGAGATCAGCGCGTCCAGGCTTCGCGGACCTCCCCGCAAGCAGCGGGAGCCAGCGCTGGGCTCCCACGGCTTGCAGAGAGCTGCCTGTTTGGGGGCTGGGGCCGGGGGAAGCTTGGGCCTCCCCCGCCCCAGCCCCGCGCCTGGGGGGGGAAAAAGAATTTTTTCCTCTTTATTTCCCCCCAAAAAAACTAGGTGCGCCTTATGGGACGGTGCGTCCTATAGGGCGAAAAATACGGTATATCCCGCCCTCCCCAGCCGAAGCCGGGCTCAGAGCGGCTAGCATCAAATGTATAACACATTAACATAAAATCAGACAATCAATTAGTAAATGGGCTGTAACATTTTTTGAAACAATAATAATATTGGGAATGGTTTCACTTGGGGTTGGCACTGGTTTGTAGGCAAGCACTTATCACCCCACACTTTGGGAAAAGGAGGAGCGGGGAGCAGGCATGTGAACCCTGCAGCTTGTGTCTGCTCATTGTTAAACTGCCACCATACTGCAGTTTGGCATTATGTCTGAATATTATTAGGCTACAGTGAGCTTCATAGCTGAATGAGGATTTGACCCCAAGCCTCTCTTGTACATGTTCAACATGCTATCTACTGCACCAGTATTTCCCAGGCTTATGTTAATCGTATATCCCTTTTGAGGCTTTAGTCTTATCGGTGTATCTCTGTTTGGGCAAAGATAATTTGGGGGGTAGTTTTCATAATACTATTTTATCTGTGATAGTGTGTGTGTGTGTGTGTGTGTGTGTGTGGCTGTGTACCCTTTGAAACCCTTTCTCGTGCCCCCCACTGGTACTTTAAATAATAACCTGACTTTTGCCGTTCAGACTTTGTACTCCTCCACTTGCTTCACTACAGTAGTAAAGACCTACTTCAGAATAGAGTGAACTTTGGATTAGTTGCTTATGCACATAGATTACCAGCTCATTTAAACTAAGGCTGTAGGAAGAGAATGATAATTTTAATTGCTGCCAAATTAGCTTGGATTGGATTTATAGCTCAGAGGCGCAGTTTTTCATCTCTTGGGCCAGGGTGGATTAAAAATGGATGATTTTATATAAATGGATTTTTGAATAAATGAAATTATACCAAGTGCTCCCTAAAATAACTTGGTTTTAAGTTGTTTCTGAGTTTGAAAAAGCCATTAGAATCTACATTTACATTCTCTTAAAACCAAATCCGTTACCCCCCTGCTAAATATAGTATATTGAACCTAAGCCTGATTTCCTATGTTAAAGAACGAATGAGAAGCAAAAAAAAAAAGTGTCATGAAGTTGAGCATTACACAGATGACACAATAGGTTATGAATCATATTAATTATTGTGAAAATTGTACATATGTAGGCAGTCCAGTAGACAGAATGTTCTTGGTATGGATGGATGTTCTTGGAACAGGATGTTCCAGGTACACTGTTCTTGGTAGCGCTGCAGCTGTACAGTGAATCAGACAAAAAAATTGGGACATCCGTTTTCTTTCCTTCTCCTGTAAATTTGAGGGCTCCCAGGGGGCTGGAGGGGTCAGGAGAAGAATCACCTATGGAACAGCATGATTGGATATGGCCCTTAATTTCACAGCTGTTCCCGTAACTACACCTAGATTCTGTAGTATAAAAGACATGGGAGCTGCACCCTAAAATCTTTGGGTACTGTTCAGGTATTTTAGCTGTTCTAGCATTCAGTTAGTAGACATACTTTCCCCCTGCCCCCAAAAATGCCCTAATCAGAAAGTTGGGGTTTTTTTGGTTTAAATCATTTCAATATGTCCTGAACTATTTAATTTTCACAACAGACTTTATATCAGGCATAGGCAAACTTGGCCCTCCAGATGTTTTGGGACTACAACTCCCATCTTCCCTAGCTAACAGGACCATTAGGGATGATGGGAGTTGTAGTCCCAAAACATCTGGAGGGCTGAGTTTGCCTATGCCTGCTTTATATGTTTGGTCCCCATTGAAGTCGAAATCTAGATAGATGGGAAGGTTGTGATTTAAAAAGAAATTGAATGCCTCTAAATAATTACAACTATGTTTTCCACTACAGTGGTACCTTGGTTGTTGAATGGCTTGGCTCCCCAACAAATTGGCTCCCGAACGCCACAAACCCAGAGTGAGTGTTCTGGTTTGTGAACGTTTTTCAGAAGCCAAATGTCTTTCACAGCTTCCGATTGAGTGCAGGAAGCTTCTGCTCTCAATCGGAAGCCACGCCTTGGTTTTTGAACAGCTCCGGGCGTCGAACAGACTCCCACAACGGATTAAATTCGACAACTAAGGTACCACTGTATTGGACCGTAAAATAAGTACTTTTTAAACTGAATTCTTAGTCCAAATACACATTAGAAAAATAGATAAGAATGCAACTTTAGCTAACGTCTAAATAACTCTTGAACTAATACCATAGGGCTTTGGTCTCAAACAGCATGAAACTTAGGAAATTGCAAAAGCTTTTGGTGATATGCTCATCTGTTCAAAGTCAACGCCAAATACGTCACCGGGTTTCCATAATCCCCTTGTAGGTTATGCAGCTATTTGAACTGTTTGAACTGTTTCTATCCCATCTTAAGCAGTAGGAGGCTAACTGAGATACTCTGCTTTGTTTCCCTTACATTTCCTTTTAATTTATTTCAGTCTTTCCTCCCAGGTTCCTTCTATTACTTTTCTGTCCTTGACTGTGTTTGCCCAAATTTCAATTTTATATTTGCAGATTGGAAGAATTGGCTGAGATTTGTGCAAGATATGACATCCCCCACATTGTCAATAATGCATATGGAGTCCAGTCCTCCAAATGTATGCATCTCATTCAGCAGGTAAGGGGCATTTACCTCTATCTTGGCTGTTATGTCTCTAGATTAACTGGAGTTTTACACCAACTTTGAAGCTTGGAGCTTTCTAGCTGGCAATACTGTGTTTCCCTCTGTTATTTATTTATTTATCTATAATACTACTACTACTGCTACTACTACTAATAATAATAATAATTTATTTATACCCCACCCATCTGGCTGGGTTTCCCCAGCCACTCTGGGTGGCTTCCAACAAAATATTAAAATACAGTAGTCCATCAAACATTAAAAGCTTCCCTAAACCTTCAGATGTCTTCTAAAAGTCTGGTAGTTGTTGTTCTCTTTGACATCTGATGAGAGGGCGTTCCACAGGGCAGGTGCCTCTATACTTAACTTAATCTATACTTAACTCTCTTACTAGTCACAAATTTTCTTGGGAGAATGGGAGTGGAAGGAGCAGGGACAATAGTTGCTAAAGAGAGAGAAGATAAACCCAGAATGTGGGGTGGTAATTCCGCGATCCACACCAGTTTGCTCAGCCTTCAGAATTCTGAAGTGTCAGAGCCTGACTTGTGTGAGGAGAGTAAAAGGCTCTTGACCTGGATGGGTTAAAGGTGCTCAGCAGAAAAGGAGCTGTCACGGTATTTAAAAGCAAATAGGGAAATTAAATTTCAAGCAGACAGCTTTGGGAGAATATGCTATGCAAGGACTAGATAGTGCAGTGGCGAAGGAAATAAGTTGTGAGCCAGGAAATACCTGATGCAAGCCTAGGAAAGCTACAGCCTCTCTTTCTCTCTTGTTTATTTTTTGCAAAATTTATATACTGCTTGATTGTAAGGAAACCTCGATAAGTGGTTTACAAAAATATGAAATAAAACATTAACATTTCAATAAAAAAGTTATATAAAAACGTATTCGAACGGTGCCCATTCCACAGAGTTAGTCCAGGAGGATGCCATAGTCAGTGGTATTGAAGGCCACAGAGAGACCAAGAACAGGAGCAAAATCACATTCGGTTCTGTCCCACTCTCTGTAAAGGTCATCCATTAGGACAACTAATGTTGACTCAGCCCCATGACTGACCAACCTAGTTTGGAATGGATCTAAACAATCTGTGTCATCCAAGAATGCTTGCAGCTGCTCCTATCCCCCCAATCTTTTCCACGGCCTTCCCCAAGTAAAGGAGTACCGTATTTTTTGCTCTATAAGACTCACTTTTTCCCTCCTAAAAAGTAAGGGGAAATGTGTGTGCGTCTTATGGAGCAAATGCAGGCTGCGCAGCTATCCCAGAAGCCAGAACAGCAAGAGGGATTGCTGCTTTCACTGCGCAGCGATCCCTCTTGCTGTTCTGGCTTCTGAGATTCAGAATATTTTTTTTCTTGTTTTCCTCCTCCAAAAACTAGGTGCGTCTTGTGGTCTGGTGCGTCTTATAGAGCGAAAAATATGGTATTTTCAGCTGGTCAATAGTTAATCCGCTCCAAGAGGTACAGGGCTGGTTTATTTAGGAGAGACTTTACCACCATCTCTTTCAAGGTAGCAGGTACCACACCCCCTTCCACAATGAAGCTGTAAGCAGATTCTGATCCAACCCACTCTTCTAGCATTAGAAAGCCAGGGTAGACGGGCTCAGAGGACATGTAGCTGGGGGTATAGCTGAAAGCCCCTTCTCCACATCAGCTGACTGCATAAGCCGAAACCGATCCCACAACACATCATGGACGGTGGCATTGGATACTTCATCTGCGACTGCGACAACCGCGGAGTCAAGGTCACTCTGAAGTCAAGCAACTTTATCCTCAAAGTGTGCAACCAATTGGTCACAGCAAGTCCTCAAATGCTCTAGCAGCCCCACAGTGGAAGTAAGTAACTCTCTAAAATAACTCCGCCAGCCGGCTACAGTGCAGGCTGCAAAATGAGTCTTCTTTGTAGCCTATACTGCATGATTAAGTGCAGTAACCAGGGTTTGTTTGGCTGCAGAGCAAGTCTTGTGCCACTTGCTTCATCCGCCTTGCTTCATAGCCCGAAGCTGCCTAGAATACCAAGGAGCCAATGTTCAGGAGCGATTGTGTCAACCGTATTTCATCTCACCATTCCATCGCAAAACCAGGGCTTCTACAGGATCATCAGCTTTCTCCACTGGAAGACACACACACCCCACACCCCCGAACATTCAGGAACCCCCAGTTTCCTGAATCAGTCTCCTGGGGGATAGGGCATCTGAATGGGCCCCCACCCTTGCAGGGAGGAATTGCTGCTACCAGTCTAAACTTTGCACATGCATGCATGCAGCTGCAGTATGATGCTGGGGTGTGTGACGATAATAATACCGACATGAGAGATCTTTTGTAAAGATATATACATGTCTTAAAAGACTGAAAAGGTGCTCTATAAATACTAGGTGTTTGTTATGGTTGTTTATTAATGTGATCCCTGCATATGAATTGACATACCATCTATTTTTTGAGCCTTGCAAGACGATTCCCTAGGGCACGTCGAGACGAAACGTCGGTTTGTTCCCTTACCCGTTAATAATCACTTGAGGAGCAACTTAACGTGTGTCGCCTTGGGTTTTTAGTTTATTCCGAAGGGCTCGCAGGTTTCGCAAGCGTCAAATGCGGAACGTATTTCGTGTCGCATCGCAACTTTTGAGCAGCTCAGCTCCCTACCTATTACTCAGCTCTCGATGTTCCCTAATTTGAGAGTTTGCTCGTACATGCAACGACGTCACTGTTTGTGAAACTTCATTTGTTGCAAAATTTGAGCTCCTTTAAATTGTTGAGCTGCTCAGATTTGCCACTGTTGTCTCTGTGTGATTGCGCTGATGTATAGGTTATGGATATGCAGCCAGCAGCAGCAGATTGAGTTAACACCTGCCCTTTAGTAGGCATGTGATGGGGAATGCCTGCTGGAGGCAGCGAGTCTTGAGCCTTTCAACTGCCTATTCTTGGAGAATGCAGTATAATACTGTGGAACTTTTCTGCATCAGTCGTCTGTCTAGCCATCTGGCTAGCCAGTTTTCATAAGCTTCTACTTTCTTGATCTCCCCCCTCCCTCCATCTGGGGGTGACCCCTATGTTAAGATAGGCCAGACTTCTTGGGATTTTAGGAATGTGGCTTAGATTGTTGCTGAAATCTGTTTGTTAAGGATATTTTAATGACATACGTAGTTATGGAGTCTGAACTTTTAAAAAGCTACATTTGGAACGATGCAATTCTTGGTGACAGCAGCCACAAAATTAAAAGACGCCTGCTTCTTGGGAGAAAAGCTATGACAACCCTAGACTGCATCTTAAAAAGCAGAGACATCACCTTTCCAACAAAGGTCCGTATAGTTAAAGCTATGGTTTTCCCAGTAGTGATGTATGGAAGTGAGAGCTGGGCCATAAAGAAGGCTGATGGCCGCAGAATTGATGCTTTTGAATTATGGTGCTGGAGGAGACTCTTGAGAGTCCCATGGACTGCGAGAAGATCAAACCTCTCCATTCTGAAGGAAATCAGCCCTGAGTGCTCACTGGAAGGACAGATCCTGAAGCTGAGGCTCCAATACTTTGGCCACCTCCTGAGAAGAGAAGACTCCCTGGAAAAGACCCTGATGTTGGGAAAGGTGGAGGGTACAAGGCGAAGGGGATAACAGAGGACGAGGTGGTTGGACAGTGTTCTTGAAGCTACCAGCATGAGTTTGACCAAACTGCGGGAGGCAGTGGAAGACAGGAGTGCCTGGCGTGCTCTGGTCCATGAGGTCACGAAGAGTCGGACACGACCAAACAACAACAACAACAATTCTTGTTGTGTGGCCGACAAAGGCATACAGCAAAACAAGGGATGCATCAAAGTATTTGAAGTGGGGAATTCACCTCGGTGTGGGGTCTGTTTCCCTGTATTCCTTATGTCACAGCACCCATGACACCTTCCCTAACTGTTCAACATACACTGATATTAACCTACTCCAGCAACTGGCATTAGATTCTGTTGGATTCTGCAGTGAGCCAGTGTGGTGTAGTGGTTAAGAGCGGTAGTCTCGTAATCTGGGGAACCAGGTTCGATTCCCCGCTCCTCCACATGCAGCTGCTGGGTGACCTTGGGCCAGTCACACTTCTCTGAAGTCTCTCAGCCCCACTCACCTCACAGAGTGTTTGTTGTGGGGGAGGAAGGGAAAGGAGAATGTTAGCCGCTTTGAGACTCCTTAAAGGGAGTGAAAGGCGGGATATCAAATCCAAACTCTTCTTCTTCTTCTTGGATGAGAAAACAAGCTAGCACCAACACACGCAGAACAAAACTAAATTAATACTAACAAGATAAGGGTTGTGGGAATTTGCTTTGGGGTAGGCATGTACCCTCAGGGGTGGATCCTGATTTGCAAAACATGGTTTGGGGAGGGATGGTCTTATGGCGGCTGCACCACATAGGACCGAGTGGGGTGGGGAGAATCTTGATGTGTGAGGACAGAAAATTTGAGAGATAAAAGAATTATCTAATTAAAGAACTTGAAGATGAGAGACCTCTGCAACACAGACTTGTTATTAAATTGCCTGAGGAAGGTAAGAACTGGCGCTGGGGAACCAGGTGGGGCTTGCGCCCACCCTATCTTTTTCCCCCTCAGGCCTTGAATTCCAGAAATGAGATGCGTGTAAAGACAATGAACAATGCGGCAGACAATGAACAAGAAATAGGCCGGACAGTCACCACTCTTCCCATCCTCACAAACATATTTTCAGAGCTGGCTGTAGCCAAATTAACATTTGTATTGTGGAAAGCTCCACTGTTACATAGGAACGCTGAGATCAAAATGTGAAGAACAATTTAACTTTCTACATCACCTGTAATGGAAATAATAAATCACTTCTAATGATAGCCTTGTCAAGAAAATACTGAGTAGCACAATTGGTCCATTAGTCCACTGAGTTGCACACTGCTTTCTGTTTTGCTCCTGTTTGTTTATGATTTATGTTAAGACATTCAAAGGGATCACTCTTACTTATATTTTTATATGTTTTCTGCTTTGCATTGGGAAAACGGATCTGCTCTGCTGATGGGGGATGCACAATTTATAGTAAATGTGGGTTCTTGGGGTGGTAGTCAACTAAGTTGTACTCAGAGTTGACCTATTAAAATTAATATATAACTTAGTTGTACTCATTAATCTCAGTTGATCTACTCAAAACATAGCTGAATGTCACTCTAAAGCTCAATCTAGGCAGGGTGGTAGTGTTGGTAGATGGTTGACCACATCTGGGAAATAAGTGTTCAAACCTTTTTGAATAGATTTCCATTCCTTGAGGGTCAAGTTCACAGACTGGAGGTACTGTTAGATGCAGCACTGGATGTTCAATTTTACGTACAATTCACAGGACTGGTTTTACCATAACCTATAAAGCTCTGTGTAGCTTGAGATCAACTCTGGAACATTGCATCCCCTGATGCTATCTGAGATGGTCGTTGTCTTGAGTTCTCCCACCAGATGAGGAGAAGGAGGTTGGGAACAGGAGGACAGGTCCTTTTCTGTGCTGGCACCCTGCTTGTGGAGCACACACCATCGGACTGCACACTTGGTGCCTATAATGAGTTTTTGGCACTAAGGTGGTGGGGGGGGCGACATGTTTATCTGCACAGATGTTTTAACTTAGCGAATGTTGTTCTGTTGTTTTATTCCTTGCGGATTTTAGGATCTTCGCTGGATTACTTTATTCTGCTTCTGTTATATCTTAGCATGTTTTCTATTCTTAAAATGCCAGCTGCCTCCTAAGTCACCTTGGTGAAGTGGGCTAGAAATACGTTAATGTAAATAAATCTTTCTGTTAAAAGACTCACACTTCCTAAGCAGTTCAGCATGAGAATGCAGATTAATTTAGAGAAGGTGATCCTCCAACTGTAAATTGAGATATGCATTTGTGATCTTACAAAAAGGTCTCTTAGTGAACAGGAATTTTGTGGCTAAAACCTCCTGGCACATTTTGGAGAAGAGTGGTGTTGCAAGAGACCCGTCCTGTGGTTTTAATCTTTATTGTTTAACATGGTTTTCCAAAACAGTTTTAACAAGGAACAAAGGAGCCCCTGTAAAGAAACCTGGGCACAATCTACCAGACACTTCTCCTGTATCAAGCTCCATTGACGTGAATGGGAATTGTGCAAGACCCTGATAAGAGACTTAGCTGCCTTTGGTTCTTTCCCTCCCTCAACTGTCACTGAGCAGGAGTCATTTTATACTGCGGAGGCCGAGGAGGGAAGTAGGGCCATTCCCAGTGTCAGTTCAGTTCAGCTGACAACACACCATAGCTGTCAGCCGTCCCTTATTTGGCAAAAAGCTCCCTTATCCCAGCGCTGTGTCCCTCTGCTGTCCCTTATTGATGATGTCCCTTAAATTTCCCGGGTTTCAAAGGAAGCAGCTCCTCTTCCTCCCTGCCTGCCGGCCTGTGTTGCTTGGCTGCGTTGCTCACCCAATAAGGAGTCTAAGAACGACTGGGGGGTGGAGCTTGCATGCCTTGTGCCAATCAAATTGGCCGCGTTGCCTGGGGACTCGCCTTTGCTCAGCGCTTCCCAGCGGAGAGGTGACGGTGGTTTTCCTTGCTGCATCCCCTTTGCCGGGTTGCTGCTCTGTGGGAACCACCGCTTGAGGCTTCGTTTGGCTGCTGGCTGGGCTTTCTGCCTTTGTCTCGGACGGGCTCAGAAGTTGAACATACCTGTTCTCTGAAAATCCCTTATTTTGGCTGCTGATCCCTTATTTCCGAGGCTGCTGGTCCCTTATTTTCAAATCTGTAAGTTGACAGCTATGCAACACACTTATTTTTGGCTCCTCCTCTCCCAGAACTATTTCCCTTCGAACTGGTCATTCTAAAAAACTTCAAGATGTTTAAGAACAAATGCCTGAGTTTCCTTTCTTTCCTCCTCCTTCCCTATCTCTTTTTCTTTTGGAGGCAGACTGTCCATTTTAGTGAGCTGTCTGGGAGCCTTTGCAGCTAAAGAGTTCCTTTAAATAAATATGTGCCAAGAAGGACTGACAGTTCTAATTTTCCTGGTAGGCTGTACTGATGGTTAGTTGCTTTGACTAATACTTTGTTCATACGCCTACTGGGTTTATTTATCTTTTAATTAGCCGGCAAAAGAGAACCATAAAAGAAATACAAAACAGATCAAAGACATCAGAAACAAAAGCAATTATCGTAGCAACAGTAAAAATACAAAAAGCAGTAGATATAAAATAAGCTAAAACTGGATTTTTAAAAGACCAGCTCCTTGTTCAATCACATAGATTAAGGATAGGTCCCCTTGGTTCTCATCTTGGTTCTGTGTCTGTCTTTTTAGGGAGCACGAAGAGGTCGAATTGATGCGTTTGTGCAAAGTTTGGACAAAAACTTCATGGTTCCAGTAGGTGGTGCTATCATTGCTGGCTTCAGTGACTCCTTCATACAGGAGATCAGCAAAATGTACCCAGGTATATAGTTTTTAAATGGATTTTTCTTCAGGAAACAACCCTGAAAGAAACTCAAATAGCTTATTCTCCCCAATGAGAAAAGAAATGATTTATATCTTATTTCTCTCTTCCCCACTCCCAGGAAGAGCATCAGCCTCTCCTTCATTAGATCTTCTCATTACATTGCTGACCTTGGGCACAAAGGGGTATCAACAGCTGCTAAAAGAAAGAAAGGTAATATTTCAAAATTAACTGATGGCAAAATACATCTTAAGTTGTAATAAACACGTAACAAACATTTTTGGAGCCTCGGCTGCAATAGGCACATGAAGCTTTCTTGTTTGGCCTGTAGCTATGTCTTGGTTGTTGTTTTTAAATGGGCTGACAACCAAGGCTCTGTTTTCTCAGTACAGTCGTACCTTGGATCCCGGACACCTTGCGAGTCGAACGTTTTGGCTCCTGAACGCCGCAAACCCAGAAGTGAGTGTTCCAGTTTGCGAACGTTCTTTGGAACACGAACGTCCAGTGCAGCTTACGCGGCTTCTGATTGGCTGCAGGAGCTTCCTGCAGCCAATCGGAAGCCGTGCCTTGGTTTCTGAATGTTTAGGAAGTCGAATGGACTTCCAGAATGGATTCCATTCGACTTCCGAGGTACCACTGGATGTGCCATATTTCCACAGTGGGCTGGTATGCATGCAAAGTTCACCCATAGTTTAGCACTACAGTCATACCTCAGGATGAATACGCTTCAGGTTAGGCATTTTCGGGTTGTGCTCCGCGGCGACCCGGAAGTAACGGAGCGCGTTACTTCCAGGTTTCGCTGTGCGCGCATGCACAAACCGTCAAAATGACGCCACGCGCATGTGCAGAAGTGCCGAAACGTGACACGCGCAGACACGCGAACACAAGTTACGTTCGCTTCGGGATGAGAACGGGTCTCCGGAACAGATCCCGTTCGCATCCCAAGGTACCACTGTACACGGATGAGTCTCAGTGGGGCTGGGGCACTCCCCCCCTTCTTGCTTTCTCCCATGTACAAACCAGGAATGCTCAAACCAGGAATCTTGACTTACAATGAACAATGGTAGCTTGCCAATCAAACCATATTCAGATCATGGGTTATGAAAGAAACTCAAATCATTTATTCTCCCCAATGAGAAAAGAAATGATTTATATCTTATTTCTCTCTTCGCCACCCCCAGGAAGAACATCAGCCTCTCTTTCAGCTTGTTTAGCAAATGGTTGTTTGTTCTAAACCAAGATTCCTTGTTGTGAGTCGAGGCCCCATGGACACAAGTAATTTAGGTTAATGGGCTAAAAAAAGCCACAACTTTATTGGTTACAGAATGTGAGTGGTATTGGCTTAAGCACTGGATTCAAACCGACTATACTTGACTCCTGCCCGCTCTGTAAGGAGTCACACAAGGGTTAACAACCTGTAGGGGGAGATCGTTGATGCAAATCAACTGGAAGCTTTCCCCTAGAGTCACTGGGGTCAGGCCATGGCCCTAGCCGCTACCTGGGCATCAGACAGGAATCACGACCACTGGATTCCTTTAACAGAATACCCTTCAAGAGGAGAGGTAGGTGATGGCCACAACCGCCCCTCCAACACATAACACATTTTCCAATGCCTAACTGCCAAACCTTACCAAGTTGTGACAATTTGCTACGAGGTAGGCAAAAAACCAAATGGCTGCTGCCAATCTGCCAAGTGGAAAAAATTCCTACCAGGGCCCTTGGACAACCAAGGTGACCAACCGAGGTCCAGAGCAAGGTCAGGAATGCATGAGACTAGAGGGAGTGAGGGTGGGAGATCTATGCATGCAGGAAACAAACAGGCTGAGCCACAGTCCTGCGCTCATTTAAGAGCGGCAAACTATGCCCCCCCCCCCCGCCAGCCATATTGGCTGGCTCCGGGCATGGCGCAGGTCAGAGACTCTTTGTGACGCAGTGGGCCATCCACGCCCACTGTGAAGCACGGGAAGTAAGACCCGCTCACAACCCCTCCCCTCGGAGAAGAGGAGAGGTTTTCACAAATAGCACTAAGCTGAGATTCTTTGAAACTAAAAGGTAAATTGGCTGAAGTCTAGAGCTGGGTGGTATCTGGTTTTCAACACCGCAATATATCACCAGCTAAACATTGTGATATATCAAAATATCACGATGTCTGAAATAAGGGGGACGCGGGTGGCGCTGTGGGTTAAACCACAGAGCCTAGAGCTTGCCGATCAGAAGGTCGGTGGTTCGAATCCCTGCTACGGGGTGAGCTCCCGTTGCTCGGTCCCTTCTCCTGCCAACCTAGCAGTTCGAAAGCACATCAAAGTGCAAGTAGATAAATAGGTACCGCTCCAGCGGGAAGGTAAATGGCGTTTTCGTGTGCTGCTCTGGTTCGTCAGAAGCGGCTTAGTCATGCTGGCCACATGACCCGGAAGCTGTACGCCGGCTCCCTCGGCCAATAAAGCGAGATGAGTGCTGCAACCCCAGAGTTGGCCACAACTGGACCTAATGGTCAGGGGTCCCTTTACCTTCACCTGAAATAAGGATGGAGCTATGTAGAGGCATTGGCTGACTTCACTGTTTTTCTCGCATTTTTATTGTTGCCGGCATCTGCTCTTGTGATTCACTGGCCCCTGCAGGAGACAGGGGAGAGCTGAGCCAGCAGAGTTAATGGGGGCTGCAAGAACCGAGAAAAGCATTGGCTGGCTTCACGGTTTTTCCCACGTTGTGATTTTTGCATAGCACACGCACACATCATGATTCCGGTTATATTGCCAAGTCAAAAATTATGAAACAGAAATTATATGGACTTCAAACCAGTTTTGGACAATATATCACCCTGCTCTTCTGAAGTCTCCCATGAGAGCCTGCTGCTTTGAGTCTGCATGAGTCACAACCTTTAAAGCTCTATATGGCCCAGGACCCTCGTACCTACAGGACCGCCTCTCCTGGTATGTCCCATCGAGGACCTTACGGTCTTCAGACAAAAACATCTTGGAGGTCCCGGGCCATAGGGAGGTTAGGCTGGCCTCGACCAGAGCCAGGGCTTTTTCGGCTGTGGCCCCGATCTGGTGGAACGCTCTGTCACAAGAGACTAGGGCCCTGCGGGACTTGACATCTTTCCACAGGGCCTGCAAGACAGAGCTGTTCCACCAGGCCTTTGGCCGAGGCACAGTCTGACCCCCTCCTTTGGTAATCCTCCTAGAACGCTAGCCCAACGGTTGCCATTAATTGGATTCTGAATTGATTTTAGAATGAATTGGTTTTAGAATGTATTTCAATTAATTGATTGTGATTTTATGTAAATTGTGTTACTTTTACTGTTGTTAGCCGCTCTGAGCTCGGCTTCGGCTGGGGAGGGCGGGATATAAATAAATTTATTATTATTATTACTATTATTATTATTATTATTATTACTACTACTACTACTACTATTATTATTATTATTATTATTATTATTATTATTAAGGCTGTGGGTGCAGTGGTGGTCCTGCCACCCCACTGAGCCCTTCCATTCTGTCTGGGGTTTGAATTATGGTCTTAGACTATAATAGGTTAGACATACCCAAGACATACCTAAACATTAGGAAGAACTTCCTGACAGTAAGAGCTGTTTGACAGTGGAATTTGCTGCCAAGGAGTGTGGTGGAGTCTCCTTCTTTGGAGGTCTTTAAGCAGAGGCTTGACAACCATATGTCAGGAGTGCTCTGATGGTGTTTCCTGCTTGGCAGGGGGTTGGACTCGATGGCCCTTGTGGTCTCTTCCAACTCTATGATTCTAAGACCACCCAATAAGATCTTTCTGATAATAGGATTACCTAGCCCTCTAATTTCAAATTTGCAAGTATCTTTTTCCCACGCTTGCCTTGATTTGCTGTCACCCTGGTTTATCTGCATTAAGTGCCCCTGACTGCAACCTCAAATGAAACTGTGCGCTGCGTCTACATGAGAGCATTGGGAAAAGAGAGCTGGATGTGAATGCAGCATGTAGTGGACATGTCTCGATCACAACATGTTTGGGGAATGGGACCTTGCAAGCAACCACCCAGCACTTCCCTGCCAGAAATGATGAGAGTAATTCAGGAGCGTCCCTGTAAACCACCACCAAGTCTTGCAGTTGAGATGCCATCACCTTGTGATGAATGAGGCTGCAACAAGGCCTAATAAGATCAATAGGGTATGATTTCCCTTATTGATTCCTAGCTAAAAATAATCAAACAGGTCCACAAGCACAGTCTCAGTGCAACAACCAGCCCTGCGCAGGGGGGAAAGAACTGTGAGTGTTGTGATGCACTTGAAGTTGCAGAGGGACTAGCTGATCAACAACCCATTAATCACACCACAACATCTTTAAACTCTAGGAAACACAAAAACGACAATTGGAAGTACAATTTTAATTTGGCATCCCTGCTGTGTGTCTCGCTCATAATAGAATCTCCTAAATTTGTTCCTAACTTTGTAAAACTACTAAGACAAGACCCAGCTATATGCATGTTGCTGCCCTTTCTTGGACTGCAACACTTCAGGGAGTGTGTTTGTATGTGGGAGAGGGTGCTTAATAGAGTGGTTCTCAAGCATTGGGGGTTTTTAAGGGAGTATTTGTAGGCTAGAGGGATGCGGGTGGCGCTGTGGGTAAAAGCCTCAGCGCCTAGGGCTTGCCGATCGAAAGGTCGGCAGTTCGAATCCCCGCGGCGGGGTGTGCTCCCGCTGCTCGGTCCCAGCGCCTGCCAACCTAGCAGTTCGAAAGCACCCCTGGGTGCAAGTAGATAAATAGGGACCGCTTACTGGCGGGAAGGTAAGCGGCGTTTCCGTGTGCTGCGCTGGTTCGCCAGATGCAGCTTTGTCACGCTGGCCACGTGACCCGGAAGTGTCTCCGGACAGCGCTGGCCCCCGGCCTCTTAAGTGAGATGGGCGGACAACCCTAGAGTCTGTCAAGACTGGCCCGTACGGGCAGGGGTACCTTTACCTTTACTTATTTGTAGGCTAACAAAACTTGGGACATCAAAATGCAACTGGGACCCAGAGGAAGAAGAAGAAAGCAAAATGGTAGCCAAATTATATTTGCAAGGTTTCCTCTGCTTTAACTGAAGTGCATTTGTGGAAATCTGACGAATCTCTAATAATTGACCTGAATTGGCAGTACATCAACAAATACTGTATCATTGCTTTCCCCCCACTCTAGCGTGATGTGGGAGATCTTCTGATTTGCTGATGTAAGGGATTCTTGACAAATGC